TTTTGAAATTTTTGTCAATATCTCTTAAATGAATGCAAAAATCATCAGAGTTTTAGTTTTATCTAAAAAGTACGAAGAACTAAGTTATTATAAGAAATTATGGGTTGCCGTTCACAAAAACTTTGAAATGGGAATGAAATAAATTTTAATCGACAGAAACTACAAAATAACGTTGTTCGTTCATARACATATTATTATTGTTTCGAATGGATTATCAATACTCTCGGCAGTCCACGAAACGGAAAATATGATCTTATTCCTCATGTTTAAACGAATCAGACTCGGGTTGAGAATAAGAACTGAGTAATAATGATAACATTTTTCATAGAGTAGACTATTATATTTTGATATTTTGGGTGTTCAAACGCTATTGTGACGTTACAGTTGACTGTGAACTTCACAATATCACTAGGCACTTATCATTGGATTGATTGATGTCAACTGGAAGTGATAGAATACAATAGAAAGAGACAAGTTGATTAACCAATGAAATGCAGTGGTAATAATAATCTCACTTCAAGCCAGACCAGTAAAGTTCCGCATTCGCACAATCAGTCTGATCAGTCCTATTTTCAAGGATGGCGTTCAAAGTCTTCCTTGTGACTGGGCTTTTTTGTTCTGTTTATATTCTGAGGTGTCTTGGTACATTCTGTGATGGCGAACTTCCTTGTTCTTATTATCAAGTGTGTTGTAATGATGTGTGCACAACAGGTTCATCCTGTGTCGGCCATCGCTGCATTACCTCTAAGAACTGCTTGTCATCTGAATCGTGCTGCAATAGTGTTTGTGTAAAGGGAGACAATTGTCTTGGTCGTAAGTGTGATTATGATGGGCAATGCCTTGAACCTAAAGAAAGGTGCTGCATTAAYAAATGTACTGACAGCAAGTCAGCCGRTCTTTGTGTCGATACCTTCCTCTTCGTCATGATTATCATTGCATGTGTGGGGTCTTTTGCCTTGACTTTAGGGTTTATTCTCGGTGGCGTTTTATATCTTAGAAGAAGAAAGAGARTTAGRGCTCACTTGCGAGGACAAGTTCTTGCACCACCAACGGAACAACCATACCAACGGTTTAACAACGAGGAACCAGAACACAATGAAGCAACCCTCCAAGAAACACTGCCTCCCTCTCTTTCTGCTTCTGAATYGGGGACTTCGCACGAGCTGCACGAGACAAACACAGTTAATTCGAAAGACTTTGAATCTACTACTCCTGTGCCGACCATCTGAACTGTTGAAATTGAAAACTTTAAAATCATAAAAAAACAATAAGCGATAGTTGAAGTTATAATTCGGATGGAAAATGATAATAATAATTGTTACTAAAAATGGACAGTTCACCCGCAAAGTTATTAGCAGAAAATGACTGAATCTGAATGGAAGATATGTTYACTATATATCTTAAAACGTGAGCATTTGTAATGCTGGTTCACACTCATAATTTGTAAACATAGAGGCAGAAGCCGTAAAAACTGAAAAGCGTATTTAGTAACCGCCGGTCAAAAGTCAGAACTAGAATCAGTTTATTTTGCACTATTAGTGTAGACAAATATTATTTYATAGGAATAGATCATGAGAAACAA